GTTCCTCCACAAGAAATCACACTATCTTTGATTATTTTGAATTACCCGCTAAATGGAAGTACTCAAATAATTGCAATGCAGTGGGTAATTCAAAATAATCAAAGATAGTGTGATTTCTTGTGGAGGAACAATTAAAACTCGAAAGAAAATGTAGAATAGGGAATAATTAGGTAATAGTAGAATATTTTTAATTTTAAAAATATGCAGTATACCCACAAGCAAAAAATATAAAGGTTACCCAAACGAAAAGTGGATATATGTTATTGCGTCAGATTGAGTGCAGCTATAACAGAGCCACCAAACAGGACGATAGGAAGTGTACACCGCAGATGACGTTTAACAGTGAAACCTGTTAGTGGTATAGGAAATTAATCGAAAGTAAAGTTGTGCCATATAGGGATGCATCCAAATCGGAAAAATGCGTGGTAGCGTAGTTTCCGATTGCAGGTGGTGAATTTTATGCGAACATCTATCGACGAATAGGGGCAATCTATGGGGCGAGCACTGTTTAAGTCGAACGTCTGTGAACAGTTGATGTAAAAGTTTTCGAGAAGAGAGGCAAACGAATCGGATTGTGAAAGTGCTCCCCTAGGGTGCCCTTCTCTTAGATTATCTGCGTGAGCTAGAGGTGTAGGGTCAACTAAAGAATGAGAAGTTGCCATGATCTTAATATGACTTTATTAAAACCTTAAACTGAAACTCTAACAGATTAGATAATAATTATATATGTGAGAATCTACGATGAACAAACACACAATACAGGTAATACCGAAAGAAGTAACTCGGACCACGATCAATATCTAACCCGCCTAATCTCAATTCCAATAATAACGCAAGTCCTAATATTAAATAGTCAATCTTACCTTAATTTAATCGTTGATCCGATACTAAGGAAGTTTCATCTTTACTCGAGGGCAGTGGTATGCACCTTGACCTAATAGCTCTATCTTCGAGATAACCTCTGTTGGTTGTCACTTCACGATTGTATCAATCTCTAACAAAACATTCCCCAAATTGCCACTCCACTTACTGAAACTTCTGTTATTTAAAAGCTATCTAATTTGCATTTAATCTTCACGTTTCACTTCTTGGGTTTTGGTTGGAAAAGAGTTGCCATTAATCTTGGCCCCAAAAGTACCCAAATTACATGTTAAAGAAAAGACGCGTGAACCCGTCACAGGATCTCCATAGCAATGTCCATCCACACATCTCTCGTGAAACCAAGGCAACTTTAAAAAATTCTTTGGGAAATGTTAGAACACTCACTGTGCTGTCCTAAATCTCGCCCACCCTGTTACTTCTTAGCTTTTAGGCCACTTAAGGGATATTACGTTTATGTTTGGACGATGAAGTGAAGGAAGATCTGCAGGACTTCCTCAAGAATTAATCACGTTCTTTCTAGAGTGAAGGCATAGATCTACTACGAAATAATGGGACCAGTGTTACAACAACCATGGCAATTTCTTTTGATTTCTAAGAAAGCTATTCTGTTTATCCAATTCGTCCACTTTTCATTTGGGCAACCCTTACATGTTTAAATTACGGTATAAGATACAAATATTGAATTTAGTTTGTTCTTTATTTTCTGTTAGAATGTGTGCACATAAATTTTAAAATACCTCTTTTAGACTCCTCTTTACAAACAAATTTATTCCAAAATATCTCCAATTTGGCAGCTGTTTGGTGAGGAAAAGGGGCGTCGATGATAATTAGAGATGACAAGATAGGGGAGGGCAATTGAACGAGTGCGTGTTGTGTTCCTTAGGGTGTAATTTGAAATTGAGAAAATTTATGCAAATTCACACCTGTGCTAATGAGTGAAAAAACATAATTATTGCTGGGTTGGTAACGAATTTCACGCTAATGGATTTTTAAATAATAGCCCGATGAGCCTCTGTAATGTGCAGAGAAATTAGTGAAATCCATTTGGCAGATCTCATTGTCTTTATACCAAGAGTTTCTAAATTTTGAAAACGAAATACCTTCTTCTGTCTCACCGAAGGAGTGTAAGAAAATGAACTACTTTAAGGTATCCGACTACGTTCGGAACCATGATTTTAAAAAGCACATAAATGTATAATTTCGATGATATTTAGTGTCACTTAGATTAGAATACATGTATAAAATGGTTTTAAAAAGACATTATATGACAAAAAAAATTATTTAAATACAATATTTTGGCAAAAAATTAACTTAGAATAACCTTTTTTCCAAATGTTCTCCTTTTGTAAGAAATGCTTCTATTGTATTAATATTTTGCCTGTATATAGCTCAGACCTCTGTACAGAGGCTCAACTAGAATTTTTGAAACGCATAACTTGGAAGTCGGTTTATCCATGTTTTACGAAAACAGAAGGGAGAAATTTTAAGAAAATATGCCGATAATTATTTCAAATGGTTGTAACTCTGAAAATAATGTGAATTTTTCAAAAATCGTAGTTGAGTCTCTGAACAGAGGTCTGAGCTATATACAGGCAAAATATTAATACAATAGAAGCATTTTTTACAGAAGGAGAACATTTGGGGAAAAAAGGTTATTCTAAGTTAATTTTTTGCCAAAATATTGTATTTAAATAATTTTTTTTTGTCATAATGTCCTTAAAACCATTTTATACATGTATTCTAATCTAAGTGACACTAAATATCATGAAAATTATCCATTTATGCGCTTTTTTAAAATCATGGTTCCGAACGTAGTCGGATACCTTAAAAACTTTCATTATTCTATTAGAAAAATCAAAAAATATTGGCTGAAATCGCTCGAAAACCCATGAATACTTTTTGAGATTATTATGGTACTGTTTTTAAAAAATTGATTGGGGTACTTACGTATTATAACATCAACCGATCTCGCCTAATCCAAAAACATCGCCGATTTAAAAAGTGTCACCAAATGTTTTCATCGTCACTTTTTCAATTCCTACTATTAGTTCATTTTCTCCTTATATATATATTTATATATATATATCTTGTTCAAATTTGCAATCGTTAATAAAATGCTTTCTATTCATCCATTCAAGTTCAAATACATTTTTTAAAACTTGTAGTGGATGGCACTTGATGTTAATACAATATTTTTAAACATTAATTCTTTAATTAAATTAAAAAATGAATAGATAGTAATAAATAAAAATAATTGACCAACACCATGCATAAAAAAAAATCGCTCGTTGTGTCCTTATAGCGCAATGGATAGCGCGTTGGACTTCTAATCCAAAGGTCGTGGGTTAGAATCCCACCTGGGATGGCTTAATTTCTGAGAATGCGACTTCTTTTTTGCTATATAATTTTATTAGAATTATTAAATTTGATAAATGAATAAATAGTGAGAAACAAAAAAAAAATTGTTCACCACCCTATAGAGAAAGGAAAATGAAAAATTCCAAGGAAAATCACTTTCTGTTTTGTTACTTAATATTGTGATTCTGTCATATGTGTATACATATTTATATCAGTTGTAACTATTTAATAAAAATTAACTAAAATAAAATGTTTCTTTGTTGATCTTAGAAGGAATTGACTTAATTTTTTTTATATGTTACTTGTGTTTTGTGTTCAAACATGCATGGGAACGGTTTTCCAGTAATGGCTATATATCGTGGCATTTGGCAACATCTTTTAATTTAACAAAAATGGTCGAGTGTGTAATACGTAAGTACCGAATCAATATTGAATAAGTTGAACATTAAGTACCTTGTAATCATTACAGGATAAATTGTAGTCAGTATAGGATTTAAAATTTAGGTTTTATACTCAAATACCAGTTATTATTTTTCCGTAAAATCCGGCGTATAACGTGCACTTTTAACACAAAAAATGAGGTCGAAATTTAGGGGTGCGTGTTGTACACCGGGTATAAAAAAATGATAGTTTCAAAAATAAAAAAACAGATAAGCATAAGAAAAATTAGACTTCTACATAGATCGAACTATTGTTTATTTGAAAGAAACGACATACCTCATGAAATTAAAGAATTCTGATTCTAAAAATATACTATTTTTCAAAATTCGGAGAAAATACCTCGAATAAATGGCTTAAAAGCATACCAGCATTGTACACGCACATTTCTCGTTCTTTCGTAAAAATGGGGGTGCGCGTTTTACGGCGAATATACCTAGAAATTAAAAAATGCGACTTGAAAGTATAGGTGCTCGTTATACGTCGGTGCGTGCTGTATACGCCTGATTTTACAGTAAATACACAGTGCGGCAAATAAGTTTTAAGACTGTGTCCGTAAAAAGAAATAGAAACAAGAAATTAATTCCTGCTTTGGTTTTTTATTCAAAATAGGACCCTCTGGCTTCAATAAAACTTGTTATAGCGATTTATTAAGGAATCAAACGCCTGTTGTAAATCCCTTTGTGGAATGTCCTGCAAAGCATGCGTCGAAGCTACTTGCAAGATCAAAATATCATCAAAATAACACTCTTTTAATTTCATTTTAATTTTTGGGAACAAGGAGTAGTCACAGGGTGCTAAATTAGGTGAACACCGTTTATAGTTATAATTTTTTGCCAAAAATCGACGAACAACAAGGGAGGTGTGACTGGTTGCATTGTCGAGTAACATACACCAACTGCTTTCAGTCCGATATTCTGGACGAATGCTACGAATTGCGGCCATCAAACTCTTTAAAACTGCTAAGTAGTACTGACCTGTAATTGTTTGTCCAGTTGGAACAAATGTTTGTGGATAATACCCCTAGAGCGCCCCGAAGTATGTAATAAGCATTATTTTGATTTTTGATGGAATTTTCCTTGTCTTTTTGGCTTACGGTGAATTTTCTGACTTCCATTCGGCACTTGGTCGTTTTGTTTCAGGGTTATAGTGGAAACACACCAGTTTTCATCCCTTGTAACAATAGATTTCTAGAAGTTTTGATCATTTTCAGCGGCTGAAATGATGTCTCTTGCAATGTGTACTTCTCACTGGTTTTTGTTCAGGGGATTAAGTGTTTGGAACAAGTTGAGCGCACACTTTTGTGTTTTGCTCAAATCTTCATGCAGGGTGGTTCGAATTGTTTCTTTGTTGATGTTTAAAGAGTCTTCCATCATTCTTAATAACACACAGCGATCGTTTGCCACGAAATTTCATACTTTCTCAATAATTTTAGGTGTTCTAGATGAAATTAGTCTTCCACTACGCTGATCATCTTCTATCGCATCTCTTCCATCCAAAAAAAGTTTGTGCCACACGAAAACGTTTGATCTACTTAAGGTATCCGACTACGTTCGGAGATAAATTTTTCAAAAATTGATTTTCTGAATAATTTTATTGTTTTAAAGAACCTAAATAGGCTTAAAAAGTCATAACTATTAGATAACTAACATGTATCGCCCTTTTTTTGAAAAAAAAAATATTTTTAGGAAAATTTAGCAAAATTTTTTAAGTTAAGAAAAACGCGATAAATAAAAATAAATTGCACATTATGCCATTTTAACGTCATTGATATACTTCTTGATCCCTCTGAAGTGCCACAAACCACTGGATAAAAAATAGTTTAAGAAATAAATATTTTATTAGCATTTAAATTTGATGCTCATAATTTTTCTCGTTAAAATTACTGCATGTTCTAAGCTAAAAATGGCTGTAAAATGTGATTATATGTAGCTGTCTTAAAACCTGCGATTTGTTACACTCTGAAGGGACCATAGCATATATGTTATAAATTTCATTGCATATGATTGGATTATTTAGAAGATATCCGTTTTTCGTGCACAAATTATCATAAAAGTTCATTCTTCAAAAAACGAATTAAAAAAATATTTTTATTAGTTAGATGAAGTAAATGCTATAAAAAGAACTTAAAAAACTCTCTAGTCTTATGTATTAGTCCTTCTTCCTCAATAATTAATTTCTTTTTTCCCTAATGACCCAAACAACACCAAACATCAAACACCTAAAAAGCACTTTTTCAACCTAGTCGGATTGCCTTAAACAAAAGTCACCGTAAACTTCTTTCATGAGTTGGTTTGTTTCCGAAGCACTTTTACCAAGTTTTGCGTAAAATTTGGTCACAATTCTTTTCAACATCTTAAAAAATTAACATGAAAAAAAATTCTGCAATTAAAGCTCGTCTTCTCTCAGCTACTACTACCAAATGCTATCAACTTGTTCGCAGTGTGTCTGAAGATCATGGACATTATAATGCATACACATTTGCACTCATGGGGCCCATGCAGCCTGCACTCTGGGACTTGTCTTAAAACTTATTTGCCGCACTGTGTATATATAAGTCGCTCAGAAGCTTTTTCTATGACCTAGAAAAAAGGAAACAACGAGTAAATCCTTTAATAACTATGAAGAATATTATTTATTTTATCAAAATTTACAAGAATCAGAAAATATAACAAAATGGACTTAACCGCTTTGGATTCTGAGCGACTGATACATAAATCCTTTGGATGTAAATTAGATAATTGATATTCATTTTGTTGACATTTTATTAACATCTATATATAAAAATGATGTAAGCAGAAAAGATAAAAAATAAAATAGTTTTTACAAAAATTTAAACTATTTTAAACAACAGAAAATTTGTAAAATCTGTCTTAATTTTCTTTAAAGTATATTAATTTTGGACAAAAATAATTTAACTAAAACAAGTTGTACTTAAGGCTGTTTTCGGTTAATGTTAAAGAATATGACCCGAATTTGGAGCATTTTTTCAGATATAAAAGAAATGAAAAATTAATTTTGATATTCTGGCTTCACTACCCTTTAGAGAGCAACATTTTTTACCGTACTTCCCATTTTTAACAGAGTTGATTCATTTTTTCTGGTATAAAACGTGCTTCGCATTTTTAATCCTATACCGTAATGTTAAATGGGCTTTGCCTTCACGTATTTAGACAAAAAAGAAAGTATTCATGGAATATTTTCAAATTTTTAAAAACTCTATATTGTTAACAGAGGTACGAGTTACAATGTTGCAAATTTCCATGGAAATTGGGTCATTTTTCTGTCTAAATATGTGCTTCGCGTTTAGTTAGAGCTCTCGTACTTTTGCCGAAGACAGCCTTAATGAAAAAAAAAATGTTTGCAATGAATAATAAATAATGTGTTCGAAAATTAAATGCATTGCTATTAAACTCTTCATGGAAAAATATAATTTTATAATTGTACGATATGCCCTTTAAAAATCGGTTAAATTTATTTAAGATAACTTTTTCAGTTTTAAGTGTTTTTAAAATACATATACTAGCATAGATAAATATATCAAAATGTCGAAAAATGTATGCAAAACTGTTTATGTAACAGTTATCATCCGATTGCTATAGCAACCTCTTAAAATGTCAAAAAGTACCTAAAATCAAGGTTATGTAAAAGTTTTAAGCAACGTGAACTTTATTAATCTTGATTGTTATGTTACTATAGAAACGCAGTAGAAACTATTAAATAAAATAAATCAGTTTAAATTCAAACACTAAACCGTAAAGTCGTGAATTACCAAACAGATTTATTAAATTACCTTTTATTATAGAAATATTTTTTACGAATAATAAATTTACCAATAAAAAAGATCCCTATTAAAAACTCTAATATGTTTCTTATACTTTTGCCATTTTATGTTTCAAATGTTTGATTTTATAAGCTTTGGTTTTAAAAAAGAATTCTTTATATAAAGTTAAGATTTACTTTTTCTACATAATTATTTCATGCATATTGTTTATTTTTTTTTTTACCTGCAATCCGAAAAAAAACTCGTTACCATAAAAAAAAAATGTTTATTCCAACTCTAATGGTTCACAATATCTGGCAGGAACAACCCACTAAAATTACGCCCCAGTCCAAAAAGAAAAAAACAGAACTTTCTCTCACTACAGAACATATTTCTATCTAACCTCTGCATGTTCAAGATTTTATCTTACATGTTTCTCTTCTTTTTTTTGTTTAGTTTTTTTTTTAACATATCATCTGACGCACGTCTCCAACATATTTACAATCGGAACAGCACACCG